CTACTACTGACTTGCAACAAGTCATGCAACATTCTGCAAACCTCCTTCCTCATCTGTAAAAGGAAATCTTGAAACTAAATCAATTCTAAGTTCTTTTTTTCCATTAACATTTTGGAAATGACAGAGGTACTGAGAGCATTTTACTAGTCTTAGATCACATTCCCAGAAGGCTAGCTAACCTGATAAATTAATTACTGTTAAATATATTTTTAAAGATTTGTTTATTTATGCATATAAGAGCTGGGGTATAGACCAGAGGTGGGGGGTGAGAGGATTCACCAGAGACAGAATGGGGAACATAACAGGCAGATTGACTGAAATACACTGCTGAGGGGAGCAGAGGGCAAGTCAGGAGAGGTCTGCTGCACTATGTTGGTTGCTTCCTGGCCAGTGGTTGCTTCCTGGCCAGTGGTGATGTTGTGCTGCAGAGGCTGGGGATAGCCTCACAGGTTGAATCTTAACCCTTTGTGCCACCAGGGAGGCCCAATTACTGCTAAGGTTTTTTTTTTTTTTTTTTTTTTTTTTTTAAGATTGATTTTATTTATACAAGAGCTGGGGTACAGGCCAGATGTGCAGGCAGGTGAGAGGATTCACCAGAGACAGAGCAGTGAACAGAACAAGCAGCCTGACGACATACACTGCTGAGGGGAGTAGCAGGCGAGACAGGAGAGGTCTGCCCTGCCATGTGGGACAGATGCCGGCTGTCCTGGATTGAACCGGCACTGCAGAGGCTACGGACAGCTTCACAGCGCTGCGCTCAACCTCCTGTGCCATCAGGGAGGCCCTACTGCTAAGGTTTTAAAGAGTCCCTTTATTACACATATTCGTCCTTTTAGGTAACATTATTCCATTTCTAAAAGGTTTTAAAGAATATAATGCTTGCACCTAAAAGATCATTTTTGAAGGTGGAATTTCAGCTTTAAGCAAAGTGATAATCTGCAGCAACAGCACATGGATTCTTTTTTCTTTCAAATATGACTTACTGAGATGAGGGAAGGTTTCACTGGTTGGGGAATCTGGGGTCCTTATCATGTTTCATTATTATTGAGCAAGAATTAAATGGACTTGCTGATACTAGTGGCTTTTTATAGATAGATATGGAAAGATGTCACTTAAGGAGGGCCTGTGTGGGTAGAGATAAAGAGAATCTCCACAACCATGTCCACTTGTTAATCAGAGGCCCCAAATCATCATTTATCCCTTCTTCTAGCCTCCTCAACTGCACCCTGCTCATTGGCAGTTACTTCCAGAACTGCAAGTCCAATAGAGTGGCCTGTGTCACAACACGGCTATTTAAATGTAAATGAATGAAAACTTAATATTAAAAATTCAGTACCTCAGTCACACAAGCTATATTTCAAGTGCTCAATAGCCAGTGGCTAATGTCCATTACTATATATACACAAACATACATATAGGATGACAAATATAGAAAAATTCCATTGGTGCAGAAAGTACTGTTGAGCAGTGCTGTTCTACGCAAAGACATATTCACAATATTCCAGAAAATGAAAGTTATGACAATTCTCTTGGTTGGTAATAGAAGATGTTTTCTTCTTCTCTAAGCTCTTGTTTTTTACTGCTAGCTAAGTACTATATGGAATGTATGGCATGGAGGAAAAGTCATATTTTGTTCCTCTTCACACTTGCTCAATGTCAGCATCACAGTGTACAGTGAGACCTAAGAAGCTTTAAATGAAATGTTCATTTGTCTATCAATCTTAAAAATGATTCCCTTGTTCTGATCATTATGTAGTTCTGAATGAATGACAACGTTGATTAGAGTTTTGCTTCAAATGATATTAACTATTTCTATCACTTATCAATAAATGCCCTTAAGCTTACAAAGCATAATAAATGAACTCATTATACAAAGTCTCATCTTCTATTAAACTGGTTATTAGTACGTCTCCTTTCTTTAGCAATGCTTTGATCTAGAAAGAGATTTTTTTTTTCTTCCAGGTTTTCCTCTGGTGAAATACTGTGACCACATTTCCTCCATCCAAATCTCATTTATATTTCCACCTTGGGCCATTTCTCACTCCATTGACCTGGTTCAGAATGGTCTCCCATTTTTCAGGAAAGGTTGATAGTAATGAAGATGGGAATTGGTTTTGCCAAATATGTTCTGGACACTGAACTGGATCAATAGAGTCAAAGGCTCTTCATTTAATATTTCTTTCCCTTTTCTCTATGCACATTACAGCACAAGAGAACAAGTGCAGCACTCCGCATTAGTCACAAAATCTTTCACTGATATATTAGCCTACCAGCTTTCTTTATACTGTCCTTACCCACCCACCCATCTATCTGCCTTCTTACTTGATGTGTGTTCCACAGAGGTTCCAACAACTCACTAAAACTGACCAAATTTAAAATGTAGTCTTAAGTTTTGTCTGGTATCAACTGTGACAAATTCTGGACACAATGTAAAGTGCCAGACAGTAGAAACCTTTGTGTTCACCAACTCTGATTGCTCAGATTAAAAAAAAAAAAAATCATAATACTTGCTGGTGAATTTCCATGTGTCAATACCATTATCAGCGTGGGAGGAAGTGGAGGGAACTGTAGCATTGCTTTTCCATTTATTTGAGGGGTAAGCTAGCATAGTGAGTAAGAGCTTGAGCTTGACTTTTATTTTTTTTTTTTTAATTTTTTATTTTTTTTAATAGAGGCATGTTTTTTTTATTTGTTTGTTTGTTTGTTTGTTTTGTTTATACATGCACTGGGTACAGTCAGAAGCGCGGGAGGGTGAGAGAATTCACCAGAGCCAGAGCGGGGAGCAGAGCAGGCAGAAGGACCGAAGTACACTGCTGAGGGGAGCAGCGGGCGGCAGGAGAGGTCTGCGCGCTCTGTGGGACCCTCCTCTGGTGGCCGGGGAGCAGCCGGGGATCGAACCGGCGCCGCTGAGGCCGCGGGCAGCTTCGCAACCCAGTGCTCAACCGCTGCGCCACCGGGGAGGCCCTTGAGCTTGACTTTTAAATTGCAGTTTTGCTTCATGCAGAATATGATCTTGAAAAACTTTCTTTCAATGTTTTGTTTCACAGTTTTCTTGTCAGTATATTGGGCATATTAATAGTATCTGCCACACAGGGTTACAAAAATTAAGTGAATTAATAGTTAAAAGATTAACTGAGAGATACTAAAGCTTTAAGAGTGTTTTTGAGTAAAGATCAATTTGAGTCAGGCAGCATCCAACCTAGCAGGTGGAAAGGAGCACCTAGTAGATACACAAAATGATCGCAGAAGGGGTAAGGGAGCTGGAACAAAGAAGTTACACTAGGCAAGAAAGTGGGTTTGTTATTGCAAAGTTAGTTTCCTGTAGGAAATACCAGGAGTTTATTAGACAGATACTCTAACTAGTGCTGATTAGTTAATTCCTGATTCACTGGCTTAAAATTCTTTTTTTCTGGGAGAATCGGAACTGTAATTAAGTGAAGTTTTGATTTGGTGATGTGAGACTTAGCTTTAAAATATTTTGGGTTTGTTATCTTGTTTTTAACATTATGGACACCAGATGAGGGCTCTTTTGGTGTCTGAGTGCAGACTTTGATATTACTAGGGCTCTGAATCTTCTAACATCATCCTTTGTGTCGTCATAACTCCTGTGAAAAGGTACCTTCCTTTATGTACAATGTATATTATAATTTATATAGTTACAGAGCTTTTGGCTTCACACTAGAGGTAAGAAGGAACATCTTTCACATCTTAGCTATGGATGGGTTTACCTGTTAAGTGAAAGTCACCTCATAGTTTTCAAAGAGAATGCAAAAGATGTTACTCTCTTAATAAATCAGAGCTACACCCAAGACAAAGCAAGTCAAAGTTTCAAGGCAGTTCACCTGAGAGCCGGCAACAGGCTCAGCAGGACCTTAGCTGCAAAAGGAGCACAGCCCTTATTTAATGTCAAATGTTGGGGGCATTCAACCAATAGTTGTCAAACCATGTTCTTAGGACACAAAACAACCAAGAAGGTAATAGTTGTTCCTGGAGAGAAAGGGTGGACAACAAGTAGGTAACGGTAAGCAAATTCACTCATCACAAAATCACAGTTAAAATTTCTTACAAATATATTTTTCCTTCTGATTTGATTTTGGAAAAGACGAGACAATGTCAAATTTCACTTTTCTCACTGGACCAGACACCGATACAGATGGGAGTGCTGACTTCCTTACCCTGTGCCGACTTCTAGCATTTATCTCTGGATACTGCCCGCAGGCTGCAGCTCCAGCAGGGCATCTGGTGTAGTCCCCAGTGGGTCTCATCCTGGTCACCAGAAGTTGTAGAGGAGGAATACTATTTTCCATTCACCTTTATAATGAGTGCTTGGTCAAAACCTCTTTTCTCTAGGGTCCTGTTGTGCAACAATCCCAGGTCCGGCAAATTCATTGTTGATTCAAACAGATGAAAAGATAATTTTGGAGCTTTCCGTATCTCAAACATACCTGTAATGCTAAATCAGGGGAGTGGACACAAGCAGAATAGCAGAAAGGGAGGCAGCAACTGAGCCGAAACTCTAGTCCCAGTTAATTGCCTCTTTGGCCCAGGTGTCCATATAGATACATGTGCATGACCGTTCTCATTCCCAGGTGCTTTTTGCATCAACAGGAGATTACCTACAGGTAACGTGGGAGGAAAGCTGGGCTGCAGATGGCCGCTATAGAGACTGCAGTGGGAGGGGGCAAAAAAGAGCCTGAATACCCCATATTCCTCACAGCACCTAATAAATAAGTTTATGTAAAATGGGTTAAAAACTCTCTACTATGGCCACTGTAGCTCAAGATTATCTTTCAGTGAGTTAATCTACTTGCTGAGCCTTTAAAACAAAGTTTCATCCACCTGAGGCCTCATACGAGCCCAGTCCAGCTTACAGTCCAGTCAGATTTTTAACTTGTCGGAACTAGACCGACCCCAGCCCTCTCCGGTGGCTAAGTCAGTCGGAACTAGACAACCAGCCCCGGTGCGGTGTCTAAGTCGGAACCAGTTCTGTAGGGACCGGGTCCAGTTTTGAAGTCGGAACGGGGTCTCTCAGGGCCTGGTCCAGCTTTTAAGTGGGAACGGGGTCTCCCGGGGCCTGCTCAGGCGTTTAAGTAGCAACCGGTTCTATCGGGACCTGGTCCAGGTTTTAAGTCGGAGCCAGTTCTATGGGGACCTGTCCAGGTTTTAAGCCCGCCTCAGCCAGGCGCCCGTCTGTTTCCGCTCCCGGATCAGCCAGAGACACGCTGGAGTCCGGTAGGCCCCGAGGGAGAAGCGGCGGAGCTGGGTTCCCGACCCGGAGGGACCGACCCACCGGCCCAGAGGCAGCGGGGAAGCCGCGGCTCCCATGGCGGCAGGTGCCTGCGCCCTCTGGCCCCTTGTTCCCCTGGCTCCAGGAGCGGGGGTGAGGGGCTCCCTGGGTCCTCTCTGTTGACACTGGAACTGTTAAAAGATAACTGAGCTACATTATGGTTAAGAGATCATTTGACAAAAAATTGATATAAATCAGGCAGCATGTAATTTAGCAGGTTGGAAGCAGCACGTAAGGAGCTGTACAAAAAGGAAAGACTTGTAGGCAGAAGGAAGCTGGAACACAGTTTTACGAGGCGTGAAAGTGGATTGATTATCGCAAGTTGCTTTCCTTCAGGGGATGGAAGTGTATCGGGCAGATTTACCTACCTAGTGCTGATTAGCTGATTGCCGATTGGTTGGTTTTAAGATTCCATTTCTGGGAGTGTGAAAACTGTAAGTCTCAGGCTTGGTGATGTGGCGGGCATTGGTATAAAAAAACTCTGTTTTGGGCTTGCCTTATTTTTATTTCTTTAAAGATTTGTTTATTTATACAAGAACTGGGGTACAGGCCAGAGATGCGGAAGGGTGAGAGAATTCACCAGAGATAGAGTGGGGAGCAGAGCAGGGAGACGGCGGAAATACACTGAGGGGAGAAGCGGACGCAGCAGGAGAGGTCTGCCCGACATGTGGGTTTCTCCCTGGCCGACCGGGAATTGAACCTTCACTGCAGAGGCTGCGGACAGCTTCACAGAGCAGCACTCAACCCGCTGCACCACCTGGGAGGCCCATGCCTTGTTTTTAAAAATGCATTCAAAGGGCCTCCCTGGTGGCGAAGGGGTTGAGCGCTGGGTTGCAAAGCTGCCTGCAGCCTCTGGGGCGCCGGTTCGATCCCCGGCTGCTCCCCGGCCCCGGAGGAGGGTCCCACATGGCGCGCAGACCTCTCCTGCCGCCCGCTGCTCCCCTCAGCAGTGTACTTAGGTCCTTCTGCCTGCTCTGCTCCCCGCTCTGGCTCTGGTGAGTTCTCTCACCCTCCCGCGCTTCTGACTGTACCCAGTGCTTGTATAAATAAATAAATCTTAAAAAAAAATCAAATTAAAAAAATATGCATTCAAGTTATCTAGAAAAACTGATGTCATTTGGTAAATGATTGTTGCTATTCTTGTTATTATTTACTTATTATGAATGGGAGGCTTCCAGGAAAGAACCTCTGGAAACTGGGGGAAATTCACTGATATTTTCAGTTTTTAAACTAATGCCAAATTGCAGAAAGAAACAGATAAATTCGACTATAAGGTGGAGTAACCTAGTATAGAGCCTCTTTTTCGTTGCAATTATATAAATATATTGGGAGGGAGCATAACAAGACTTTCTAAGCAATATGGAGAATTTGAGGGTAAAAGAAGTGCATAAGTAGCAAATACAAAGGAACTTAAAACCAATGCAGTAAACTAGCAAGACCATTTTCCTAGGGTGGGGTTCAGTATGTGGACACAGGTTCTTAAGGATAGTAATCAGGGTTCACTCTCCATAGTAGAAAGGAGGGTTCAAACTCTGTGAAGTTCTAAAAAGAGATGAGAAGCTAAAGATGAGACATTATACAGCAATGGGGACTGCGCAGGAAGAAAATTCTACCTACCTTTTAGTGTAAGAATCAGAAAAGTTTTTTCTAAGTTTAAGTGGCTAAAGGAAATCTGCGGTTAATCAAAACTCTAGATCTGTGTCATATGTGCATGTGGAATCTGAATGCAAACAATAATCCTGAATGCACACAATAATTTGTATAACTCCATATTACAAATTAAGTACATGATCAAGGATCAGTTAACTATCTGATTCTTAAAAGTTCAGTTGAAAGCCACTATTGAAACCATTTCTATAACCAATGTACATGAGCTCTCATGGATAGTAAATATTTTGCTGAAGATGGGCTCAAATAAAAAAGAATTAGAAACCCATTCTCCTTAGGGAGAATAAGAAAACAAATACGAGAACTTGAAATAAAAGAAAAATCTGGGAATGATGATAAAATTAGTATAATTAAAATGAAGAGGTAATAATAGTAACAATAGATTCTATAAGACAAAAAGTTATCTGACGGAGAAATTTATTTCTGAAATGATTTGTCATGAAATTGTGAAAGGCATACACAGAAAATTATAAAATTATAGATTTGTTAAAAACTTTAAACAACTATTTAAACAATTGAGGAATATAAAAAATAATACATTTTAATGTATTCCATCTATATTCCTCTCCTTAGGAAATGATGCTGAAGACACACATGTATGCATGAACTCACATATGTATGTGTAAGAGCTTTAGATTTATTTTATATTAAGTGATTGATATTATTAAAGTTTTATTTAACAGCAACTTGATGTTATTGCATGTGAATTTTGCTCTCGTGTTTTAAAAATTGCTTTTTTTTTTTTTTTTTTTAAATATTAAATTTTATTTTTATATTCCCCCATACAATTGCAAACGCCCCATTCTGACCCCAATCCTTCCCCTCCCGCCCCCCACCCCCCAAAAAGTGTCTCTGGTTCATAGTTTTTTGTTGATTTTGATTTTCACTTTCTTATATTCATTTTCCTGGTCCCTTATTTAAGTTTTCTAGATTCCTGCTATGAGTGAGACCATCTGGTATTTTTCTTTTTCTTTTTGGCTTATTTCGCTGAGCATGATCCCTTCCAGTGCCATCCATGTTGCTGCAAATTGCATGTGTTTATCTTTTTTGAATGCTGAGTAATATTCCATGGTATATATGTACCACATCTTCTTGATCCAGTCATCTATTTTTGGGCATTTGGGTTGTTTCCAAAGCTTAGCTATTATAAACTGTGCTGCTATAAACATAGGAGTGCAGGTGCTCTTTGGAATTGATGTTTCTGTGTCCTTTGGGTAAATACCTAGGAGTGGAATTGCTGGATCATATGGAAGCTCTATGTTTAGTAGGTCCAGAAATCTCCACACAGCTCTCCATAGTGGTTGGACCAGTTTGCACTCCCACCAACAGTGCACAAGAGTTCCTTTTTCTCCACATCCTCGCCAACATTTGTTGTTGCTAGTTTTTTTAATATGTGCCATTCTCACTGGTGTGAGATGGTATCTCATGGTAGTTTTGATTTGCATTTCCCTGATGACAAGTGATGTTGAACATTTTTTCATATGTCTGTTGGCCATTTGCATTTCCTCTTCAGAGAAGTTTCTTTTTAGCTCTTCTGCCCATTTTTTGACTGGATTATTTTCTTTGTTGTTGCTGAGTCTCATCAGCTCTTTGCAGATTTTTGTGATCAGTCCTTTATCATTAGTGTTGGGTGCAAAAATGTTCTCCCAGTTGGTGGGGTTTCTCTTTGTTTTTGTTATTGTCTCTTTTGCTGTGCAGAAGCTCTTTAATTTGATGTAGTCCCAGCTGTTTATCTTTCTCTTCACTATCACTGCTTTGGGTGATGTGTCTGTAAAGATGTCTTTGATGTGCAAATCCCGTAGTGTTTCGCCTATATTTCCTTCTATGTATTTTATGGTTTCAGGTCTTATGTCTAGTTCTTTAATCCATTTTGAGTTGATTTTTGTGTATGGTGTGAGGTAGTGGTCAAGCTTCATTCTTTTGCATGTAGCGACCCAGTTTTCCCAGCACCATTTATTGAACAAACTTTCTTTGCTCCAATGCATAGTCTTTGCTCCTTTGTCAAAGATTAGTTGACCATAAATCTGTGGGTTTATTTCTGGATTTTCTATTCGATTCCATTGGTCTGTATGTCTGTTCTTGTTCCAATACCATGCAGTTTTGATGATTATGGCTTTGTAGTATAGTTTGAAGTCTGGGAGTGTGATGCCTCCATTTCCTTCTTTTTTTTTCAGTAGAGCTTTGGCTATTCGGGGTTTTTGGTGATTCCATATGAATTTCATCAATAATTGTTCTATTTCTTTGAAGAATGCCATTGAGATTTTGATTGGAATAGCATTGAATCTGTATATTGCTTTTGGTAGGATGGCCATTTTAATAATGTTTATTCTTCCAATCCATGAGCAGGGGATGTCTTTCCATTTCTTTGTGTCTTCTTCTATTTCTTTTAACAGTGTTTTATAGTTTTCTTTGTATAGGTCCTTTACCTCTTTTGTTAGATTAACTTTTTTTTTTTTTTTTTTTTTTTGATTGAAAATTGTAAGAACCTCCCTTGGTGGTGCAGTGGTTGAGTGCTGGGCTGCGAAGCTGCCCGCAGCCTCTGCAGCGCCGGTTTGATCCCCGGCCCCTGAGTGAGGGTCCCACGTGGCGCGCAGACCTCTCCTGCCACCCACTGCTCCCCTCAGCAGTGTACTTCGTCAGTCAGTCTGTTCTGTTCCCCACTCTGGCTCTACTGAATTCTCTCACCCTCCCGCGCTTCTGACTGTACCCAGTGCTTGCGTAAATAAATAAATCTTTAAAAAAAAAAGAAAAAGAAAAGAAAATTGTAAGGGGCAGGAAAGGCTGGAACAGGATCTCTGTGACCCGAGCAGACAGGGTAAAGGAGAGTTCTGGAGCCCTTGGTGGTTTTCTCAGGCTTTTATGGAGATTTACCAGGTACAGGGCAGGCAAGATTTACCAGGTACAGGATTTACCAGGTACAGGAAGGCCTCTCCGGCCTTCTCTGGTGGCCTTGTTCTCTGCCACTCTCATGGTTCTGCTGGCGTCCTGGTGATGCCGCCCTTATAAGCTTCGTTTCTCAGCCCAGGTGTACCCACTTACTCATGCCCACAGCCCACTCCAGGTGCCTGCCATCAGGCATGCATTCAGGACCGCAGGGATCCATCATCAATCCTAATGGCGGGAGGGCAGAAAATCCTGATCCTTTTTTCACTTACCCTACAATCCACCCGCTTAGGGTTTTCTGCCATACAGTCTATATTCAGGTTATATGTTTCTCTTGGCAATAGAACACTGCAGCCATGGCCTTAAAAGTACGCAGAATACAACTGAACACAAATAAGTCCAGGCAGGGCACCGACCTAGTGGCAAAAGACAAGATTATTGGCACCAACAGATGATCCACCACTTCTGCTGCCGAAGGCACTGCTCATACGAGGGAGCGAAACCACTCAGACATCTGCCGTCACACGCCAGGAACCATCAGGCTTCCCAGCCTTTTCCAGCTGTGGTTTCAGCCACAAGCCACACCGCATCCACCCCCAGGATGTACTTATTCTTGGATCGGCAATTCTGTACTTTGAGGGTAATTGCCCAATCCTCAGGGTTTCTGCCTGCGGTTGCTCCAACACTGGGTTTTCATAGCCACCAATGCGACATGCAGACCCCTGCACTCAGGCCAACCCATTGCACACACACATGGGTTGGGGTTCCGTGAATACAAGCTCCACATGCGGCCTCTCTGGGGTCCCCTGTTTGTCTGTGGGCTTCACCACAAGTTATGTTCCCCACCTCTCCCCCAAGGATGGGGTCCTCAACAACTTACCCTCACTCAAACTGTGAGCAGGCCATCACCCACAGGTGATTTTAAGAGACTGGCTGGCCTTCTTTAGCATACTTAGGCAGCTTAACAGCCACTCACTGCTTCCAAATCTCAGCATCAGCTTTTGCCTTTCTAAATTGGCTTTTTCCCTCTGCCTAGCTGCTGGGCAGAACACAGGCTGCTTTTGGCCACTGAGGCCCACTGGCCACCCCTAGATTCCCATCTCCTGGGGTTTACAAATGATACCATCCACCACAGGGCCCCCAAAACATAACATTAACCTGCCAAGTTTCCTCAGCCTTCTGGCAAGATTGTCAGTCCAAGTCCATTAGTCCAAATCCATCAGTTTCCCTGTATCAGCACTGGCGAGCTCTAAATCATGGTCTTTTCTTCCCCGATGATTCTGCTGCCTCAGGAGTGGTTGGCTGGTCCTCTCGGGCATCTCCTCCAGGCGAAGTCTCGTTCTGTAGCTCCTGGACCTTGTCCACCTCTTGTACCACCACGATGCCTCCAGCATTGTCACAGGCTCTCAGTCTGCTACTCCTCAGTTCCTCCAAAGGTCTTCGGAGGGCTCCATACCCATCTGCATGGATCATCTTGCCCACTTATGCCAAATGTAAGGGGCAGGAAGGGCCAGAGCAGGATTTCTACGACCCGAGCAGACAGGGTAAAGGAGAGTCCTGGAGCCCTCAGTGGGTTTCTCAGGCTTTTATGGAGATTTACCAGGTACAGGGCAGGCAGGGGTCCTGCCAGCCTCCCAGCCCCCAGCAAGTCTTCACTCTACCTAGGCTCTCTAGCTTTCTCTGGTGGCCTTGTTATCTGCTGCTTTCATGGTTCTGCTGGTGTCCTCGTGACACCGCCCCTATAAGCTTAGTCTCTCAGCCCAGGTGTACCCACTTACGCATGCCCACACCCACTCCAGGTGCCCGCCATCAGGCATGCATTCAGGACCGCAGGGATCTATCATCAATCCTAATGGCGGGAGGGCAGAAAAGCCTGATACTTTTTTCACTTACCCTACAAAAAGCCATTCTAGCTTCTAATATTACAGCACTGCAAAGACCAGCATATATGCATAGTATTTTGTGCAGGTGTGAGCTTTTCTGAAGACCTAGAATGCTACAAGTACAACTGTTGTATTAAAGAATATACCCATTTAAATTTTTGATAATCACAAATTGGCCTCAAAAAGAAGAAAGAGAAAGAACAGTTAGTCTACTTAGCTAAAGAAGCTCCAGTCATACCTATCTTATATTACTGGATTCTCTATGAGCTTTTGTTTAAAAAAAATACCCCAGATAACTTGAAAGGCACCAAACCAATTGAACTTAAGGTGTCTGTAGCTTTGGCAGTGTGGGCAGAGTTGAAGAATGGGGCCAGTTTCCCCCTTCTCTTTGTAGCACTGGGATATCTGTGATTTAAAAAGTACCACGCACACTTGTGAAGCTTTTCTACTACTTCTTGAGCTTTGTTTAGTTCAGTAAGATATAGAAGACTCACCTTCCCTCCATAACCAGCAATATGCTTTGAGTCTTGCACCTGCATCCCCTTTCTGGGCACTAAGTTATCTACTGTGGGTGTCTTTGAATCAGTTAAATCCAGCCAAACTCCCTCCAAGGAGTAGCTCATCTGAGGGTAATTCAGGAACCAGTAAAGGATGGCAAATTGCTTTATGGAAATTAGCTTTTAATTACTAACTGGCAATTTGACTGCAATCCAGCAGGTGTCCTGATTGGGTGAGGGTGATTTGATAAGTGGATTTTTTCTCTGTAACTTTCAACATATTCCTTCCAAAGTCCACAGGAAATTTTCCAACTTGAGGAGGCCACGGAGAAGAACCAGCCCATCACTAGAAT